TAGCCATAAGTAACCAAGCAAAGTACAAGTTTTTGCATTTTAAAATTTTTTCATTGCAGTCACAGATTTTTATTTAATTGAGTTTTCTGGTGCCCATAAGGGAAAAAATCATCACATTGTGGGACATTTTGTCCGCATAAGGTAAGATATATCCGCTCACACAGACACACACACAAAAACCCAGCACCACAGTACCTGATCCAGAATGAAGACGATAAAGTAAGATCCTATATTCATATAGTGCACCTATTACCTGTGTGGCCACTGCAATCTTAGTTATCCAAATCTTTTCTCAGAGAAGATTGCATAGCATTAAAATATGACCTAAAATTCGACGTTACTGGGGAATTACTTTCCTGTCAAAGGTGCACTTGCGTTAAAATAAAATACAAAGTCATGACATATAGATTGATGGCATTACCCTTTATTTTTATCCCGTCTACTGCATCAAACTCTGGTTATCTGATTAAATCGCTCCCAGGTGACCTCGAGGTTAACTTTGTATCAGGAGCGGTCAATCAAGGGTATGTTTCTTCCTGGGATAGCAGACATATAAATCAGTCGTAAATCAGCTATAATCGCCTCGGATGCCAGGCGAGGTCTTCATGCTCAGCCACAGTGGGAACTTGTGGATTCAGTATAACCATAGGTCTTAATGCAATTTCATTTTACTGACCGGGATTCAGTTGTATGATTCAACAGTGATGCCACTCATGCTCTGATTTCAGCAGTATTTCATGTCTTTTACCTCAACAATTTTATTCCTCAATATTGCCCTGTGATATCAAAGACCCTAGCTATATATGTGTGTGTCTATGCATACTATGTATATGTGTGTGTGTATGCATACTATGTATATGTGTGTGTGTGTATGCATACTATGTATATATATTAAATTTTTTCTGTACGTATGGGTAACGGAAACTTTTGTTACGTATTTTACATGAAGCTACAAAAGTATCAGGCCTATGTGCAGCTATGATTAATACCGATTTTTATATATTTTGTTTTGTTTATTGCATGACTCTTAGTACGTGAAATTGTTCCTAATTCCGATAATATAATATGATATCTATTCTGAACATTTTTAAAATTTCTGAAATGTAGTTGTCATTGTAAAACAAATTGTGTGACAAGTTCTGGTTTTATTTTTAGATATGAAGACAGCCCTGTGGCCGGCACTGATTTTTTTGTGGCTCTGTGATGCTTGAAAAATCAAATGAAATCTGAAGGAGTCTTTGGGTGGAGCCCAGTGCCGTCCGTGTGCTACACCCTGCTATCTTGGCTTGTTGTGTAGCTCCGGGAAGCCAAGCCAGAATATGGGTTAGCTGCCCCATTGCCTCCCCCAGGAATTTTATTTGAATGAACAATTTCAATTTTGGCCTACAAATGCCAATAGAGATCCTGCTGTCTCTGCTGTGGGCGCAGCTTCACCCTTGCTGAAAAACAGAGAACTTCAATGTATTATTATTATTATTATTATTATTATTGTTATTGCTACTACTACTTACTACGATAATAACAATATAATTATTATTGCTATTATTATTATTATTATTTATTAATAATGTGGCATCAGTTAGGCTGAATCTACAGCAGAATGACTGTCTGTGTCTGTAGGTTTTTCATAAAAGATACAGCTGCACTCATTTCCTCTCCAGTCTCCTCTTACTGGTAACATGCTATTTCTCCCTAACCCTCTTCAGTGACAGGCTTCGGACTGAACAGTGGGGCAATTTATACGTGTAATTTTCAGCTTTTATGGTAATTACTGCCCCCCACCCCAACCCATCACCAGCACCACCACCATTTTTTCCCCAAAGTGTTTGTCAGTGTGTCCTGCCCAGAGCAGAGGGCTCTGAAGACCAGTCAGTGAGGAAAGAGCCCACACAGGCTGACCTCGGATACATGTACCTTGCGAGGAGATGCTCATGCCCCCTTGGCGGGCCTTGTTTCCTGTGACATTTTATGACAGCTCCATTCTTTTAGGATAATTGCACTACTACATGAATCTCAGTAACGTTAATCAGTGTGTGCAGCAGGTAGCTTCTTTTGTACGATGTGCACTTAGCTAAATCTTCGCAATTGTAACGATTTTACAGAGGGCAACTGAATTTTAAATTGTAACATCTGGTTATTTCAATATTGGCACTTTCTTTTTTTCCTATCAGATTTACTGAACTGGTTTTAATTGGGGAAAAAAAATACATGCTTCACCTGCCAGTCCTTAAGTGGGACAGTTTTGCATTGTTCCATTCCCTATTCTGGGTGACCATGGCAACATTTAGTGCCACGCTTAAATAGTCAATTGTGCCTGATAACCTTATATTATGCCGAGATTACAGGGTCCTGATCTTTAGTGTTTTTTTGCCCTTTCCTTACAAAATCAGAATATTAAAGTTGAGGTTCGCAGTTATTTGTATGGATTTCTCATTACAAATAGAATGAAGGGGAAATGCACTTTTCCCTCGTCCTTACTCAGTAAAAGTCTCGAATACAGAAAATGCAGGATAACGCCATTCCCATAAAAGGGACAAACTATTTTATCCCATGCAGTGTCACTGAACTTCTGTCTGAGAGATTGTTGCTTTCAGTAGATCCCTGCTGTTTTTTTGGGTTATAGGACTCCGCAACATGTCTCTCTGTGTAAACAAAGATCACACAGACTGTGGACATGGGAAGGCAGGACAGCGCAGGATAAACAGAAAAGGCAGAACCCTGGGCTAGTGAGCCAGGGGATGGAAGGGAATTATCTGAGGCCTCTGTCCCTATAAAACAGGTGAGAGCGACACGCGGACGGCGAGGAACGTGGCGGGCCTTGGCCAACGGCTGCATCAGCCACCGGTTACCAAGCAACGGCCCCCTGTGCGTGGCACGACACGGCGTCGTGTGTGGCGAGCGAGGCAGCTTTTCTGGCCTTTAGAGCTAGACGCATAAAGAGAAAATGGAATCAGTGTTCGCATAGTCAGAAAAGTTAAGAATCCTATCATTTCCCAAAGTTAATTGGCTGCTGTCTTTTAACTAAACACTTGAATCTGGCTCCTGGCTCACATGGGATCAGAGATCCGCCATTGCAGTTACCTCCCAAGCGTTCACGTGAGTACTTGTGGCTCCCAGCGACCTCCCTGATCTGTTGTTTGTCTTGTTTCGCCCCGATCCTCTCCTCTTCACTTCTGCAAATGTCCACAGGTCACGCAGGTGGAACCGGCCACCGTTTGTACAGACAAGCCTCACCTGAGTGGCATTTGGTTTTCGGCATTTTGCCCCTTCACACAAGCAGCTTCGGCTGCAGTGCTGCTTTGCTCCGAGACAGTTTAAACCCCTTTTTGACAGCCACACCCATTGCCGTTACCCTGCAGTGTTTTAAGGCAAGCTGACGTGCAATAACAGCATTAGTAGCAAGTGCGGTGAACAAATCCCATCACTGATGTCTGAGCACCAACATATGTAAAGATCCCTGAGGACCCAGGGGCTGAAACACAGCCGACTTAAGGTTCCTGAGAAGGTTGTCGCTTAACTGCTGATCCCGATGGTGGATCTTATAATGCGGAACATGTACTGCAGACTTAAAAACATCAAGCCTCTTGACTTCTTAATGCTGCTAATGGACCAGCAGCAGCCATGTTGGAAGATAGTAAGAATAATAAATCATCCACCACTGATAACTGGTAACCTTGATGAACTGACCAGATTAGTTTAGTGGTCATTCCTGCCCCCTGTCAATTTCCTAAATATAGGACAGGAGGGGCAGGATGAGGGTGGGGGAGAAAAAAAAATACATTCTCGATTTAAAATCCACCATAGTTCACTACACGGGTAACAAAGACTTAGTGTAATTGAACGTGCCACACTCAAGCAGGGCGTTTTATGGGGCGGCGTGTTAAATAATGATTATTTTGTGAATTTGTGGCTTTGCAATGCACAATTAATCCTTGATGAAATCAAAGTTTATAGGCCACGGTCTGGCATCACAATGCAGGGAATAAAGCCTTTGTAAGCTCTGCCTGGGCATTGTTCCCATTTATCAGTCCATAAAAATAAAATGTTCAAAGAGCTGAATCGACATGCTGTGCAGGGCTGCGTGGTTGAGCCGGTGCTCAAGGTTCAGTCCCATCATATGTAAGCCTGCACACATGTTCTTCACTCCTGTGGTCCATCTCTGACTAGTAGACACTAGCTGCATTAAGGAGTGAATTTCTGATTGGTGTTAAAGGTATACATCCCGTCGGTCGCCACAGTTCGGTTTGCTAATATAGCGAAGCCATTTAAATGCTACTGTTACGTTTTATTTGGGCGCGCAGCTGTGAGTCAAAGCAATAACGACACCCCATTGATTGTGTTTGAGGCAGCTGCTGATGAATTTTCAAATTTTTGGATGCGATGCTATGCCGGACACACCCCGGCTGCCTGTTACTTTAAAGAGAAAGTCATTTTAAGATGTCTCACTGTGAAAAATACGTTTCAGGAAAAGGAGAAAAAAAAATCCATAAATCTGCTGGATGGAAGTATAAAACAATGTATTTGTATATGTGCCGTCAGGGCTAGATAAGAAAAGGCTTCGAAAAACAACAACAATGACGAGAGAGCGATGGCGTTCTGATCAGATTAAAAATGGAGAGCGCTCACCTTCGGCAAGCTCTGATGTAATAAATAAAGGAAAATGGCCCCGGTGTTATTGTGGACTCGACTGCTGGCTCCACTACTGTCAGCGAGCGGCACCCATCCGTGAACTTGCCATCTGGATCCTCCCACAAATCACATTAAAGTTTCAGGCCCAGGAATATATTGAGCTAAATGAATATTGGCTCGGGGGCCCCGGGCAGCCTGTCAGCGCGAGAATCCTTGGTAGTCCAAAACGCCGCGGTTGAAAACGTTCCATTTCTGCCCGCGTTCGGGCCTCCTCGGCGTTCTGGGAGGGGGACCGTGGAGCTGACCTGCAGCGAGTCTTTCTGCTGCGTGCCTCAATTTCTTCTGCACGGCTGCGTCATAAAGACCGCTTTCTGGGCACCGTAGGGTCAAAATGAAGACTGAGATAATAAGGAGTCCGCTACTCCTACTCAAACTACCATTAACCACCCCGGGCACGTGTTCAAGTCCGCTTTACAATCCCAGGCTTCACCCATCATTAACAATTTCCCCATTATCTACAATTTTGGTGCTGCAATTATTTTGGATAAGATTCCAAATGGTCGGAATCGGCGTGTTCGTTTTGCTGCAGTCACCAGCTGTTTACAAACATCGCCAGGAAGCCATCCATTTCAGCGACTAATGTCGGCGGCAGCAAATTTTTTTCCTTGAAAGGAAATTGTTCCGGATCCATCCACGGTACCATACGGAAAACAAATATTGAATGGCGCAAATGCTTGTGCTGGATGTTAAAGGAGAGAATGGTGCAGTTCCAAGCAATTTTGTAGCATTTTCTGGGAATCTGCATCAGTAATTATCACACATAATTACTGTTTTATTGCACCTGTTATTTGCACTGTTTATTTTTATTTTTTAAATTTTGCATTGTTTGCATTCATTTTATTAGTGGGGGGGGGAGTGGATAAGAAAAAAAATCCCACTTAGCAAAACCGAGCTACTCTTACCAACTAGAATTAAAACATCAAGGTTTAGCCTGTCAAAAATAATGAGGATAACAAAGAAACATTGACCATCCATCCTGGCTGAATCATATTTATGGATGGGCAAAATTTGCATAATTTCATTCTTTGCGAGCGTGTGATTTACCCCTTATAAAACTGAACATCTGATGCAGCAAGATTTAATCAGCAAATTGACTTGCAGTGTGTTCAGAGTACACAGATGGGCCAACACTGATTTTAGACAGAGAAATCACAAAATGGGAAATATGTAAACACTCACTGAATCAGAAGTATATTACATATATTCAAAATATGTGGGAAAATGGTATGGAATTGATTTTTAATGTCACCTACTGGTCATATGCCAACATTCAAACATTCTAACATTAATGTGAGAAAATGAGCATTGCTGTCACTCAAAGGACAAGTAAACATATTATTTATAGTAGTTTTCTTGTCCTTCATTCAGGAACATTTTGTGTCCCAGTAACCCTGACTACATGGTAGACTCCAGTACTGCTATTGGTATATTATTTTGGTCCCTCACTTAACTTCTCATGTTCGTCCAATTAATTTGTTCACTTGTCCACTTAAATGGAATGCGTTCATGTTTTCTTTTGTGTGGTGCTGTACTCAGCCCAAATGGTTTCCTTAACTACCAAAACTGTCCATTACAAGTGTCACATAGATCTGTTTGTTGGTCCATCAGAGAGGATTCTTACACAACATTTTTGACAAAATCATATTCAGCTGACAGATGTCTGTGTGTTTTCCATATGTATATCAAGGCAGTTGCATTTTAACTTAATGAGTTTGTGTTGTGGTTTCCTCCCATTGGAGATAGGGGATTTCTCACGGCAATAACTTCCTGGCATTTTTACAGTTATAGCTCACCCAAGGGAGTAGAAACTGGGGAGATGGGGTGGATGTGCCCCTCACCCAATAATTAATTTGGCTTCATTCATTCCCCAGTAAACAGACCATAGTATTTAAATTATGTTGTGTGCCCTCCAATCCAAACTCTCTCCTTCACCATTGAGTTCACTATGGCTCACCTGTTATATTTCGGTGGCTTTTAGTGGATGGTGACTCTTTTCCTAACGTAACTATTATTCAAACTAATACGAGTTGAAAGGTGATATTGCGATAATGCTTCTTCTGAGTGGAATTAGTGATGCTGTATACTTATAATGACATACATCATGTAGCCTTGCATAGGAGATATATATTACTTTTCAGTACACTGTATTCTACTGAGTCTTTGTTTTGGGAAGGTGGCCAGACTTCGGAATAAGCTGAGCGGAACACAGGTTCCGATAGGCACAAAAAAACAACTCTCCTTGCCAAGACTTGGGAGAACAAAAGCATCCTTTCTTTGGTCCGTCGTTGCGTAATGCTGAATTGCCTTTCTATATCTGTTCACAGTGTCTTTGCACCCTGCGCTGGCCTTGGCAAAGAAAGCAGAATCTGCCACCTCGATTTATGCGGCCGCGTCCATTCAAGACGAGATTAAACATTACTGTCGTGTTAAATTAACCAAAATGTGATGGGATGGCGCATATCAATCACTCATTTATTTTGTGTCGCATGCAAGGCTGCAGAGAAGGGCAATTCAAAGGTGTTTGGACCTGAGGAAATGGCCTTTGAACAGTTTACAGCTGAGATCAGAGTTAATCGAACGATTCTATCTCAGGTGAACATGGCCTAACAGAGGCTGAGAAACAGCATGTCATTTTGAACCTCTGACGCCTCTGTCTCAGTCATGGGCCCTAAACAAATACTCTCAGTCAACTGAGGATCCCCTTTTTTTACTGCCAGGTCTGCAGGTAATCTTCCCCGAGTATCTGCAGGAGAAGTTCGTCCAGTCGGCCCTCAGCTACATCATGTGCAACGGCGAGGGGGAGTATGTGTGCCGAAACAGCCAGTGTGTGTGCCGCTGCGCCGAGGAGTTCCAACAATGCAACTGCCCCATCACCGACATCCAGATCATCGAGAACACCCTGATGGGGATGGCAGACACCTGGGCCACCACCTACAAGGACTTTGAAAATTCAGGTACATGGACATCTCAGACTGTACTGATTGGTCATAACGCCCAAGAAATTAGTCTGGAAGTCCTGTGAAAATGCTCTAATGTCTTTTGATGAAGATTTGTAATAATTAATTGTGAGCGGACGATCCCTGGTTCTCATCCCAGGGTCGGCACAGAAATTTCACTGTTGGGCCCTCGAGGAAGGCCCTTAACCCTCAATGGCTCTAGTTACTCCTTTAGCATAACCCGACAAAAACTCATTCGATATAAGAATGATTCAACATCAATGTGTAGCGGTAGTACAGGTCAGAAGGTCCACAGATTAGCCATAGCATGTTAGCAGAAGATCTGCTGTGCTCTTCCAGTCCCAGTAATAAACCAGCAACAATAATGTTATTCTGTGCCTAACTGTGGACCATGGAAATAAAATCAAGAGGTGTACTTCTCTGGCAGGGTTCTTGCGGTGGCTCTTTCTCATCCTCCGCGGTTCCCCGTATAAATGCCGCATGTTAAATTCTGTAGGGCAGCATGTAATAAAGTGACAATGAATTATTCAGTGTCTTTTAGGCGCCTTCGGTTAGAGGGGAAGGCTCTTGCAGTTAATTATATCAGTCAATTTCTTCATTCTGCCAGGTTTTCATGAGGCACGGCGCTTAACAGGAGCGAGCCTCTCTTTGTGCGTTGTCAAGGCAAACGTGGCGGTAGCGGAGTCACTTTCAGACACGCCGGAGTGCGCCTACATGCCCGCGTGAGCTGGAGGATGAATAATTCTCTTTGATGCTCAGAAGTCAGCTGTTTAAACGGCTGACGGGAGAAAAAGCCAAGTTCCATTAACGTCGCAGCATTTCCCACTTAAAAGGCGGGGCCGGTTTAAGGCACAGTCGCCTTTTCGCAAACACAGTTTGTGTTCTGAAGGTGAAACCGATATCGGTACATATTCAGCATGGTTAAAGTTCAGCGACTTCCCCCTTTTTCATGAATAAGTTAATTTATAATGCAAAGAATAAGTGTGTTGAGTAAACCGGACCGACGTGTGATCTTTGACCGGCCTGCAGACAGTAATAATCTTTCCTTCTTGCCCAGCTTACCTGATCAAAATTCATGAGAGATGACTCAATATCTCACATCTCCTCTGCCTTATATATTATTAACATGTAATAAAGCCCAAACATAGAGGATCGGTTATATATAATGGTGGACACACAAATCAAACTCCCCTCGGTCATGGAAGAACTGTAGTACCTTGCACTGGCATTCCAAAACACCCCCATCCCCAAACTTTATAGTAAACATTCACATAGTTTTATGCCTGACAGAGAGTAATGGGGAAGAAAAAAGAATCCGACAGTTATAAATATTCTCACTGAAGTCGGTGACTGCATCCAAACTGGATGGGGATCTACGTAGAAATTTATCGAATGATATCAAGAAGTAGACGTGAGCCAGTGTTTTTTGATGAACTACTGTTTACAGTTTTTTTTTTTATTGTCAGAAAGTGATCAGGAAAAAACTAATAGGCATCACATTTTCTCATCATAATGCTGGCTGGTGAAAGAGGGAAAAAAATCTGCAGGAGCAAATGTTTGTTCTTGGAGAAGAGTTTGCTTTGCGACTCAACGGCCGCATATTTGAGCCGGCTAAAGAGCTGGCTGAACAAACGCTGCTGCCGTCACGGCACATAAGACTTTCTGCCGGCTAATGGCTGCCAGCAAGCAAGGGAATTCATCTGTACATCTCCCATGACCGCATACCCAGTACATGACAGGACAAGAAGCACAGGGCCGTAAAAGCTAACTGTGTCCCTGCCTGTCCTCCCAAAGGCATCGCCTATCTCCTAAGATGTGTGCCCCTAGCACCAATGCTAACTCTGTCCCTGCCTGTCCTCCCAAAGGTGTCTCCTATCTCCTAAGATGTGTGCCCCTAGCCCCAATGCTAACTGTGTCCCTGCCTGTCCTCCCAAAGGC